GCTCCAAAGAGAATTTGATAACTACCTATTCATGAGAAAACTCTCCCCCTTCTTAGCCTAGATTCCCTTGTCCTGACGGTCAGTTTGGAAGTTATTTTTCTTTTCAAAGTCATCTTTGACATAGGTGTCAATCTGCACTTGGAATGATGCAGGTTTGCATAAAAAAAACAAAACACTGCAACTGAAAATTTACAGATAAGGCAATTCTCATTTTGGAAAAGGAAAAATATGAAACAGTAGGAAAGGAACAGCTATAGGCTATGTAATAGCAGCAATAGTCAATGCATACAAAGCTCAGAATGCGCCAGTTTTCTAAAATGTTTATAATGTCAGACAGTTTTATGATATTAGTTATGCAATAAAATAATTTTGACGCCATGTATTTCCTGGAAGCTAATGACTGGACACTGAATCTAACACCCCATGAAAGGGCTTGTCATTATATCTTACTATATTATTCTGTGGAAGAAGCAGACATAATGATTCTGACAGTAAAATTTTGAACCAGTTCCCCCATGATTTAATAGCATCTGATTTATTGTATTTAGTGATCCTCTATAGAAAAAAATGGATTAAGTGATTTATAGTTTTAGCATATCTCTACTCTGTCTTTAAAACTCTAATCCTTCTTTTATTTAGGGGCACAGACCAAAAAGCAACCATGTTTTCCCAGAAACATGAAATCTGTCATAACTGTTTAAGCATGAGAGCTTATATGAAGATGGTTTTGTACAGTGAAGCAGAGGACCACATCCCTTTCACATGGAAGTCATAATACTCCTGACTTCATTCAAAATCAGTATAACTTTGCTTATTTCTATTGAGTGCCTGACCCAAGGCTTTCCATAGAGAACTGCTGGCCTTCCTGTGCATATTTCAGTTTTGAAAGAGTTTCTCTGGAGTGTTTTCATATAAACTTAGTGATTTTCCCAACACATTTTCTAGTAACAGCCATATTAGTAAGTAAAATTATCCAAGAACCAATCTGTGGTGGCAAGTTGCACATAGTTTTCTCCCTTCTCTCAGAGTCTTCATACATCTAAACTGTTGGGAATAGTTCCTTGCCTAGACTTTTCCATGAATGCTGCTTGGGCACTGTGTAGGAGGACAATCCTGATCTGCTCAGGTCAAAGCTCTTTTAGGGACTATGCTAAGAATTCAAGAATATGATTGACTGCATACAAGAACTTTTGCCTGTGACTTGTTTAGATGTTGCTTTTAGATCTGGTGCCTTTCATTGTTGTGTAGGAATTCAGTTAAACTGGGAAAGTGAATTTTTTTCCCCTTGAAATTGTTGTTTGAGTAAACTGTGTCCTGTTGATTTCAGAGTTGTTATACATTTGGTGTCTCTTGCACTGAACTGCTTTGAATGTTGAGCTAGTTTTATTAAATTACTGACTCTGAAAATAAATTCTATATTGTCTTCTGATGCATTTTTTCCCCTTGGAAAATCAAGATGATCCTACATGCACTGCACAAGCTGAGTTTATAAATCTTCTTAAATTCTTTGTTGCTCACTATGTATCTCCACAATTATGGTAAAAGTGAAGCTCTTCAGTTATGCAATAATTATAGTCAAAGTTCTGTGCAAAAGTGCTGAGCCTTGAGCAGTACATTGAAAACCAGTGTGGGAAATCAAATCAAGAAAAATTAGTATGTTTTGCAAATATCAGTTTCCCTTTCTATATGGCCTGAATATCTGCAGTTACTATAAACACTACGGAATGTGTGTCTATAGAAACAATCAGCCACAACAAATGTATGTATTTCAATCCAGAAAGTGAACAAATGAAAGAACATTGTCAGGTTATGCTGTATGGTAGTTGTTCTTCATGTCAGGTATTTCACATTCTGTAGAAGAGCCTGAATTTACCTGCTCAGGGCAGACTACTAAACAAGTTGCTAGATTCTATTTTTCTGAAACAATTGCTTTTAGGACATGATGCTGGAATAAAATGTGCTGTCCTTCCACAGTCATGTAATCAACTGCACACAGGCAACTGCAATCCAACCCATGCAACAGCAGGTCTGTCAGAAATTTACTTCCTTTCAGGCAAACGTTTATGAAAAAAAGAGTGCTTCTTTCGTTTTGCTTTATGTTGTTTTTCTTTAGCTGAATACATCTAAGTTGCTGGCAGTTTCACTATTAGCTGGCTAATACTGAGATTGTTAGCTTTCATTAAGTCAGTATGGAGCTTGATTCCCACTGTTCTTTCAACTTCCATTAGAAACTATTTAATTGAAGCTCTTCCATACAATGTCTGTTAACCCTGACTGAGATGTGCTCAGTTTTTAAAAGAAAATTGCAGCTGTTCCATTTGGGCCACTTACATCTGTAGCAGAAGGTCACCTACTAGTTATTAATGAAATTGTGGCACCTTAGGCCTTGTGGTATTTATTTATTTATTTACTTACTTATTTACTTTCTTACTTATTAATGTAGAAAATTTTTTTCTACTTATTAATGTTGAAAAATTCAGTCAGTATGCCAGTCAGGACTCTTCTAAGTTCTCTGCCAGACTAGTCTCAAATTTGGATCCTGAGCACATAAGCACCCTATAAGTTAATGTTGCCATAATGTTTCCTGAGGCACTTGAAGTGTTCTATTTCTGCAGTAAAAGTTCCAAAAGCAATCAATTTTTGATAGTGGGGAGTAGATCGATGTTTCTCTTATACTGGTACCCACCAGGAACCATAACCTAGGGACCTCTTTTAGTTTTTCTGCACAGTCTGACCCAACAATTATTTACTGCATGCTGAGCAGAGTATGTTCTGCATAGAGCATAGCCAAAAAGGGCTGGTTAGAGCACTTACTATGGATGCAGATAATATAAGTCCAGCTCTTTTTCACCCTTCCCTCACCATAAGAGCATTTGAATGCAGCTTTTTCAAGAGTGATTTAACTATGAGAGTCTCTATGGGTCTGCCTCCCAGATTTCTTAACAAACATTTTCTCTGAGAAAGGAATGCTTTCTTCATCTGTCTAAGCTCTAAAACCTAGAGTCAATTTGTTGTCTGGATATATTTTAAGAATTTATTCAAGAAGAAGCATTTTCCTCTTGGCCAGGAGGCATATATCTCTGTACTACTTTCTTTTGGGTGGGTAGAAATCACAGTTCAGATTTATCTTACCAATGAGGGATTTGAATGCATCTCAGAAGAAAAGGAGCTATTGGATTACTCAGCTATTGGATAGAGGGAGGAGAATGCAATGCTGCAGAGAACCTCTGAGGAATGGCTGGCTTAGAGGTAGTTTTAGCATTATGTCATGCTAAAATATGAATATTGCAAGGCAGCTCTCTTCAGTCCTTATTAGTACAGTAAGAGTAGAGTGATAACCTGTGAAAAACCATGAATGAAAAAGGTTCCTAGCTTCTTGATAGCTGCAGTGTGTATCACTCTATAAGCATGAAGAGGTGTATCTGTTGGTAATGGGGCTGAAAGGTCCATTTGGCATTGACAATACAGGCAGGGATAGCACTTTTTCCATTTATTTTCTTGTAAATTCCTCAGCACCCCTATGTTACAACCATGAGAAAATTACTTCATGGTTTTATTTTGTGAGCATTATATAGGTAACATTTGCCCAAATAAGTGGCTATTTTAATGGATGTTTGAATATCACAAACTCATTAACACTAAAATAATACAGATTTTATTATACTTCTGTTCTCTCTTCCTATATTTTTGATTACATACATACTTTCTAAGTTACCTACTCCTTGACTACTCATATGGTAAGTTTAGTCTTTGTAAAAATTAAATAGTTACACTCAATAATCTATTGCAGTCTCCACAGATTAGACTACATTAAGAAAAAAGTCAATAATGCAATGGTGCATTTTCCTATTTAACTTTTAAAAATATTTCCTCATTGGAGCAGTGTCTTCCAAACTTGGTTAGGGCTGTTACAAGAGGGATTATTCCAGCCTACTGTCAGTGTTTGTCTTGAGAATACTTTGATATTGAATGCCAGAATTACTGTTTAATTAGCTATAGAAAGCATACATTTTTGCCTGAACAGAAGTATTTTTCTGTACATATAAAGTAGGAAATGGTTTTTTTGTTGCCATAAACATTGTGTTTTGATGGCACAGCACATCCTGCGCATGGATTCAGGAGCTGTGCTACCACGTAAGCCCCGGTCCCAGGAGACATGACTTAGACAAGAGAGGGTGAAAGCTGTTTCTTTCACAGCGCTTATTAAATCTACTCCCACTCCTCTAAGTGATATCTAATTTCATATTATCAACCACTTTGATTTTTTTAATTTCCCGAATGCAGATAACAAGAGTGCACCTTGAGTTGCTGATTAAGTCTTTTTCCTAGTTAGCCTAAGCAGTGCTCATCCTCAGGTGAATTGTTTAAACAGCCTCTGCCAAGTCATATTTTACCATGAAGGTGAATCAGGCTTCTTCATTATGTCTAGAGCTTAATGATATACCATAAATTCTTGTTTCTTAATGAAATTATCTGAAAAAATATCTACTTATATTTGGAATTAAATACAAATGTCCAGTATAATTTCACTGAGCCCATAAAGTATTTACTTGACCTTCACAGATGTCTTACTTTGCATAAGTATTGTCTTGAATTGATTTCAAGGTTTTTTTCTTTTCATTTTCTCCCCAGGTAATACTTCAGTGGCTTCCCTGTGTTAGTTTTAAATCCAAAATATAGTCTGTTCAGTTCAACACTGAATACCACTGTATGTTTTTTCCAGCATATTTTGTCCCTGGGTCTGTGAACATTTCATGCAATGGACACTGATGACAGCAGTGCTATCTCCAGATTCCCTGGGCAGCCTCTGTGTTGTTAGGAAAGTGCCTATTACATGATAGTTCCATTAGTCCTGCTCTGTGCCATTCATAGTTTCCAGCTCTTGCTTGTTATTGTGCTCTTTGCTTTACATCTCCACTGTTCTCTCTTGTGAAGAGATATTGTTCTCCCTGTCCCTACCTGAGCACTATTTTTGTATTATGAGAATGCTCATGTTGCTATTTCAGCTCTGTTTGGCTCATCTTCCATGTATTGAGGCCACCTAATACAGGACTTCTGCTTTGGGAATGGTAAGTAACATTGCCTGCTCTTGGATCTGAGTGACAGTGTCTCTTCCCAGAAATAGGCTTCTTTTATATGTGGCTCCTTTTATATATGTGACAATTTTTTCTCTTATTAGTTCTCTTTTGAAGTCTAGATATCTGCAGCATTCAGCAAACCTATCAAGTGCTGTCATGAAATCTTCATTATTTGCCTTTTACTCCTAGCATTTTGTTGTAGCAAGTGATCCTGATACTCTTGCTTGGAGGAAGTCATAAAGAATAATAGACTACTCCAGCTTCTGAGGCATGCTTTCCTGTCAGTGTAAACTTAGAGAAAATAGCTGGAAGGAACCGGTTCAGTTGCACCTTAAGAATAGTTTGACATCAGTTTGTTTCTTAGCCAAATTAGTTGTTTCTCAGTCAGTCAGCAGCTTGCAGCTGTCACTTGCTCTTGAATTGGTTTTCTTAACTCCATAACGAAAATCTGTCCCCTAAGAAAGTTTGTCATATATCTTCTTAATTAGTCTAATAGCATATACCATAATATACAACTAAGACAAGAAATGGTGATATTTATTGTACAAAGCTATTTCCTCTGACTGAATATATTAAAATCCATGAGGAAAGCTAACTTGTTTTGACACCAGGACACATGAGAACAGTGTGTTGTATAGCCCTGATGGCATGTAATCATATTAGCTGATTTAGATCTGGATCACAGGTATTCTTTGTTGTTTAATCAGCTTCAGAAGTTAACCAAGTTATGCTGGTTTAGAATGTTGTATCTGGAGCAAAATTGCTTTCCTGTGAAATGGCAAAACTTATTAATATTCAATATTGCATCTTCTGAAAACAGGTATGCTATTTAGTTACCTATTTTAGCCATACCAAAAAAGGCAATGATACATATTGAAGATTAATTATGTAATTGAAATGTAATTTTAAGGAAAATTGACTTATAATATAAGATTTATTTTTAAGAAAAAAATTATCAATGCGGTTTGATTTGTTTATGGAAATGGAAAAACAAAGATTTCTTTAAATATTTTGGTGAATGGTATCTATCAAAGCAATTTTTGGAAAAAAAAATGTTTTTTAACAAATATGGTTTTTTCACAAGGAATTATTCTCCTAAGTTTGTTTCCTCCTTTTGAGAACCAACTCATAATGAGATTTTTCTGAAATTACTTTTCCCAGAATCATATTTTTTAAGAGACCTAACACTCAAAATTTTGAATAAATATCATCTTTCTGGTAAGAACCACCAGTCCATTCTAGTGTCTGCTGAACTCAGTGAGAGTATATGACTCACAAATTCATATAATCATTTAAGAGGGAAGATATTTCTGAAGGTCATGTAGTCAAAATCCTACTCAAAGAAGGACTGACTTCAAAGCTTTTTTTCAGGATATAGGTTTTCCTGGAAGACTCTATGCAGACATTGACTTCTATGATAGTCTGTCTAAATGTGCTGTTTACATATATCTTGGGACTCAAAATATGACTTACCAACAGAAAGGAGGGCAAAGTTTGCTTTCACAGTTTGGCATGGCTTCCTGCATTTCCTCCAGTTGTGAAAGCATTTTAAGCTTGAGCCTCTGATAAAATAAAGCTTTGCAGTTCAATATTCAAATAAACATCTGTTTTAGTTCACATTTCTAAGAATACTATTTTTTTTCTTTGATATAGTTATGAGGCCTGCTGTATGTGTATGGAAAATTATATGTCCTTTGCATTTTGTCCAATTATTTAATTTTGTGAGATTCTGCATGTGAGCATGATGAAGAAGGGAGAAGAACAGCTCTGGGCCATCTTCTTTGCCCTTCATGAGGGTTGAATGGGAAGTAGGAGTATTGAGTCAGGGCTGTGTGACTGTCAGGAGCACTGGCACCAGAGTATGGAGGGGGTAGGATCTGGTTCAGACCTGTGCAGTGAGAGATTGCTACTCTTTCTCACTCTGAGTGGCTTGTGTGGGTGCACACACATCGTCCCCAGCAATCCACTTCTGCATGTACGCTCATGACTCACCCCCGCCCAAGTATCCACAGACAACGTATACATTTACATAGAAATAAACAAATATGCACTTGAATATAGCCTACAGAAAGATGGTAGAATTTATAGGTGTCACATTCTGCATCTTAATTAGATATTCTCTTTTGAATTTTCTCTAAAGATGCAAAAAGCAGGTCCCAGTGCATGTCTATTCATGTTGTAGTACCTTGGCTCTTGATTCTAAAAGCGTCTAATAGCATTTGATTTGTCAGTTGTTATAAATGTGATCTAGGATTTTGTTTGAGTCTCTAAAAATCTTCTCATTGGCACATGTCTGAAGCTGCCTTCATACACATAAGGATTTTATTTATCATTTCATAACTTTTAAAATTAGAAAATAGATACATAATTTTAGAGATATTTTGTGAAATGACATGGAAAAGCTGTTATGACAAAAAGGATAAAAATCCATACACTTAGTGTGCCTTATTTAGTTTGTCAAAACCACTTGAGCTGTTGAGAGAATCTAATGTAATTCAATGAATCTGCAAGTACATTTTCAGCCCATTGAAAATGGCTGTCAATTCAAGGTTACTTCATAAAACTGAATCATGAACAAAAATTACTTGGTGAAGATGAAAAAGGCAAAGAAGTAAAACAAATAAGGAAATGGGTATTAACAAATTAGAAATTAGAACAACAAAAAATGTTAATGGAGATTTATGGAATAAAAAATATTTTTTTCTTATATGGTCTTTCTTTGACCATTATTGGCCTATCTATGTCTTCATTATGTAGAAAAATTGTCTATTGACTTGAATAGCACACTTTCAATTCATGCAGGCAACCATTTCCACTTGAAAAGATAATAAATATTATTCATGAGTATTTTCTTACATAAATGGAATTGCAAAGCTATTCCTTTCTCCATACATTTTTCACCCAAATTCCACTTTTGAGCTAGCATTAAAATATGAATAAATTTAGTAATTCATAAGCCTATATCATTATCTTTCTTTTTATACATATTCTTATGACAGAAACATTTGTCTTCTTGTTAATTTTTCTTCATTTCTTGCCTTCAAATTGTCATTTGAAGCACAAGATGCTTCTAAGATTACAATTATCTACTCAGTGAGAAGGGTTATTTATCAAGTATAGAATTAGTGAAAGCATAAAGCCATTAGTGTCTTTCTCCCTTTTGTTTTCTGTTCCAATTCCCAGGTAAAACTGAGTTGCTGCCTACACATCAGTATTTGCACAGATATTAAAATTAACTGTTGCTCCAAAATATTGGTAAGCTGGGTTTGCCAAAACGTGATGACCCTGGATATAGTCAGACATTCCTGGAAGACAAAAAGGAACAGATTAAATTTTATTCACCTACAGAAGACCAAGAACATTGTTCTCTTTTATTTCACATTTTCTTTATGTTTTGCTTTCTGTTTCCTTCATGTCTTCATAAACTAGGCATTTCTTGGGGCCTTTTAAAACACTGAGTCCTGCGCAGTGTATGCAGAGGAAGACAAATTCTGGGCTCTGATTCCAGACCTGAAAGACAAATATCACTCAGCATTTCCATCTGGCCATCAGTATCTGTCCTCCTTCTCAAACAGGGGATTTCATGAAATGAGTTTACATTCACTTTAAATGTGCCAACATCTGTTTCAGGTATCTGCATTGCTACAGTGGGGCACTGTGTTTCAACTGAGGCAGTGACAAAATTGTTCAGACCCCACAGCTTCCTGAAGTGCCTTTCAGCAGATCTACATGGCTGAGCAAATGCAAGGGCTCCGATCCTCTTTAAAACTAGGCCAGGTGAGAGTACAAAGAAGAAAGTTTTATAGTATCTTTCTTTTGTGTGAAATGGACTCAAAATCTCAAGGCAAGGTTTCATCTTGCAGAAGGTTTGGCAATAACTGAACTTTGTGGCACTTCAGCATCTCCACCCCTTCTTTGTTTGTGTTGCAGATTTTTTTTTTTACCCCAATCATTTCCCTCAACTAGTTTTGAGTTTAGAGGAAAATGTCATAAGCAGTTGAGCTGACATTTCATGAAAGGTAGACTGCTGGGACAGGAGAGTGAGAACATTTTACAGAATCAGAGAACAGCTGAGGCTGGGAGAGATACCTGGAGGTCATTTGGAAGTCCATCTCCCTGCTTAAGCAGGGCCACTTAGAGTCATTTCTTCAGGATCATATCCAGACATATTTTTGATGTCTCCAAGGATGGAGACACCAGAGTCTCCATTAGTGACAATTACAGTGACAGTACTCAGTTGCCCTCAAACTAAAAAAAATTAAGCTTGACTATCATTAAATATTTTGTGTGATGAAAGCCAGCTCTAAATTAAAGCAAAGAATCACTTTTAATAGTTCATAATTTCCAGCTCTGGTCTTTGAGGCTTCAAGAACCTGTGTGTCCGTAACACTATGTCAGTCTGCCTGGATGCATCTATACTAGTCAGTTCTAGTATGCTTTGGAATGCTTCAGGACATGGGAATGTCATTGTCCTTGTTAGGCAAATCTCAACACACTCCCTAAAAAATATTCAGCCTATTGTAATTATTTATGTGCCCCAACAATTCCATCACATGGTCTGTCAGTCAGAGCAGCTCCTGGGAATACAGCAGGGCAGTTTCCCTTCAGCAGCTGTCCCAAGTGCACCACCAGAGCCACCCAGCCCTGGCAGTTTGTTAGGGCAGGGGCCACACATTCCGTGTGTTAACTCCATGCCTTCAGGACTGAGGGGTGTTTGATTTGCTGATAAAGAAACCAAACACACCTCAGAGTGTCTGCAGGATACCTGAGTGTGTGCTCACCTCGGTGGCTTGAACTTTAGTACATCCAGCTGCTTTACATGCTCTTGACTCCTGGCTCTGTATGCAATGTGTAAGGGGCAGGCAAGAACCCTGAAACTGCCTCTTTTCTTCTTATCTTATTTTCCTAGAAATATTTTCATTAGCTCTTTTCTTTTAGAATGTGTCCATAACTTGAGTTCTATTTGTGGATTTTCCTTTCTGAATAGCCCTCTGGACAAGAAAATCTATTTAATTTTTATTTTTAATTGTCTTCATCAGAGTGGATAATGCTGTGACTCAGACACATGATTAAAAAAAATCAGCTTGCTTAATTTTAGCTAGAATACAACTTTTCAGTGTGTTTTTAGCCTTGAAAGAATATACTTTAAGATCAAAAAAAGCTCCAAGCAGATATTTGATTGAAAACTGCAATTGCTATCAGTATTTCCAATCTATTTCAGAACAAGAATGAGAAAATAGACTTTTTTAAACCACAGTATTTATTTTTAATTTCACCTGCATTTGAGACCTCCTGCTGGCCTACTTCTCTGTGTTTTTCTCAATTTATATTCATTGTAACTGAATTGGGGAGGGAATTGATCAGTACGTTTGGAATGCTGATGAATTTCTGTTCTTCTGCTGTATGCCTCTTTAACACAGTTATCTTTACTTTGTAAATATATATAACTCAAGAATGCACATTAGTGAAATAAGGTACTTTGTTTTAATAAATTGAGGACATCTATTTTAATGCTTTCCTAAAATCTGCAGGGTACTATGAAGAGTTAGAAGCTATAGTACCATAACATGAAAGAGTTGCTTTATGAAGATCTAAAGACCCCAAGAATTATATTAAAATATTTTTATTTAGGAGATTATCTTTATACTACTGTTAGCATTGTTGATCAATTCAATCTACAAATAATTAATTATATAAATTTATTGCATCATAACCTTCCAAAGAAAGAGTTGTCCTCAGCTTCTTTTTTTTATTCAAATCTTGGGGTCAACTTTGTACCAGAAATTTTGGAATCATTTTCTTGAATGCTCATATTATTTTGATTATTTTGATTTTGTCTTTTTAAGCTGCTTTAAGTTATGAAATTTATACATTTCATCATGTACTCCGAGTTTCAAATTGAATTAAATTCTTCCACATTTGTCTTTTTTCTTTTTCTGTTCAGCCAATTGTTATATGATAACTTCCAGGGTGGTGAGTCATCCAAAGTGAGCACATCACATAGACATACAAATACCAGACAAGTATCTATTCTTCTCACATAGACATACAAATACCAGACAAGTATCTATTCTTCTTAGTGAAATTAGCTATTGATTGCAGTTGGCCATGTCCTTTATTTCTCTTTCTTACAATAACAGCATGGAAATGTAAAATGTGTATTTATTGACTGGATGATTATAGGCATTTGAGTAGAGCCTTTATTTTAAAATATTAGCTTTCCTAAAAATGTTTGTGCCATGTACTGACAGCTACTTTTAAAAGGAGGAATTATGCTTTTAAAAAAGTAGAATGTCCATGTGTACAGTATAACTAATAAAGGAAATTTGGTATGATTTATGGAGCAAGGAGTTGTGCATGCATGAGAATTGAATATAACAACCATATATTTTTCTTGAGATCAGGTTTAAATCTGTTATTTTTTCTATGGGCTTAAATTCTTAGGAATTATTTCCTTTTAAATGCATTTTATGAATAACAGTAGCAGTCCAGACAGCAAATTCTTTCTGAACAGTTTTTGATACAGAATACAGTATTTGTGAAAGGCTTAAAATTAGCATTTTTGAATGAAGATTTAAAATGTTATAATAAATATAACTCTTTGTGTTTCCATAAAAGAACAGCTCTTTCAAGTGAATTTAATGCTCATGGAAAGCATAACATTGACTGGTAAAGAAGCAAAACTCTTATTTATCGTTACTAGGGACAGAAAGACAGAAGCAGAATAGCAGTTCCTCCTGAAGCAATGGTGTGTCTTTTGTGTGATGTGAAGAAAGATTTGCAAATATTTTATCTTTATAGCTCTGCAAAAACATCCAATTAGACTGTTGCTTGTGCAAGATAGGTCGTCAATATGGGCATGTAGTTTTCAGAAAATCACATGATAACTGCCAGAAAATTAAATCAATGGGTTTGCATATTCTGTCAAGCAAAGTTTCATCAATCATTGACCTTTCCCTTCTGGTCACTCCACAGGATCTGAAGGAGAAAACCTCTAGGGTCCATTCCCTAGTGCTCAGATAATACATTCATGCTACACAGGACCATAAAACCTCATATTTATGGAGGAAAACATACTAAAATCTCACTCTAACTTCTTCAAATCCCCCAAAATCACAAACCATTTAATGACTTTGCCAAAGATACAGCTTTTAATTCTGCAACGTTCAGGTTTTTGAGATCTGGTATGTTAATACTATTTCCCTCTATTTCCAGAGTTGCAGGTGGGTGGATTGAAACATGCCTTCAAGTATTATTATTTATGATTTCTAGAAATGTTGAAATTACTTACCAGTTCACTATATAGATACAATGTCTGTCTAGCCCTTAAAGGCCTAAGGAGAAGCAGAGAAGACAATTGCCCTCCAGGCACAATCCTTCATGATAGTGAAAACATCTGCTTGCTTGCCAGAGATAGCATGGAAATATTTACACTATTAAAAAGAAAATTCTGCTACATAAAAATATGCTGAGGGCAAAAGAAAGGAAAAAACCAGTGATATAACTAAAAAACTAAGTATGTGTTAAACCATGCTGACTTCCACTGTGCAACAGTTCATGTCAATGAAGAGAATAAACTAAGCTTGGAAACCAAAGCATTTTAATCACACATAAATGCCATTTTGACATCTCACTATTTCTCTGCCCCACATGTCAGATGACACACTTTCTTCATATGCATGTCACCAGAGCTGGCCCTCCATCTCTGGGGTTTTCATTGCCTTCACGAGTCTCCCATGTTGATTAGTGTTAATTGCTATGACTGAGCGATTCTTTTTCTGTAAAGTTAATGAAAGTTCATGTGTCAACACTGCAGTGCACTAACCCAAAATTATGCTAATTACCACATACATGGAACTGTTTGGCTCAACTGAGGTTTAGCTACCTAAAGTTCTAGAAAGATTATTTGGATGGAGAAGATGGTGATATGATGGTTCTCTCTGGAGGTATCTAGGGAAGAATCTGGTACCACATTCGGACAATGTACACAACAGGAAAATGTGGCTAGGGAATTGGGCAGCATACTGCAAAATGGTATCTCAGTTATTAATTATTATCAAATCTAATTATTAATCCTCTTAATCTTATCTAGCTATTAATTTTATTTTGTTAATATGTAATCTAAACATTTTGCATGTATACGTTAAAACTATAACTTAAAAATAAATGTATTGATTCAAGTCTTTTTTGGGGGGCTGTGTCATGTTCCCTTGTTTCAAAATATATACTAATATTTTTGAACAGGGTTTTCCAAGCAAATGTTAGGCAGTCCATCTTTGGGATTAGTACTTTTTCTTTACTGCCTTATATTTGACTTTCTCTTTAAGGAAGGTTGGGCAGCCCATAAAATTAAAACAGTGAAGGGAGACAGCCTGCATGATCTATGCTGAACAAGCACAAGATATAAGTGAATTGGAATTTGTTAATAAAATAGTTAAAATTCACAGTTCAGCTACTAAGGATATAGGTCCTTCTGTACTGTCTTGAGAAAAGGTGGAATGCAGGAAGGTGGAAGAGAACCACTATTTTTCCAAAGCCAGTCTTCCAATTTGTCTCTTCTAATGATCTAATGAGGGCACAGGCTTTTTACATTTCCATGATTCAGATTATGGATCCTTCCTGAAGGTGACAAGACTGTAAAAGGTCATATAGGTGGGTTAGACTGCAGGACTTTTGACTGCTGGCAGATCTGAAATCTGTCCTAGTCCTAGTCTACATTTTCCTTGACCGAACTGAAATGCTATTAAAATACTAGCAAAAATACCATTATGTTTTGA